AATGAAAAGGGCGGTAGAAATAAAAATTTAATTATTTTAGATGCCCACTTGAATTACGTCAATCGATATTATAAATGAATTGTTTCGAACGAACACTTCTTACTAACCCAATCAGGTTCTTCATTTATTTGTCCTATAATGAACCACAAAAACTGGAACATACCTAATTAAGCTATTAAAATCTAGTATAGCGCCAGCTAGATACAAAATATAGACAATGTCTATTAATTTCAATTGCCAATAAATTGTATTCAATATCTTCTAATCGAATTAATAAAACTTATATAATAAATAGATAATACGATAACATTGAATTTGATACATCATCTGGTTCATTATTTCTCACATATTTAGAAATTCTCAAATATTTCCCACGTTTCTAATCGCTAAATGTTTCCTGTATTTATTATTACATTCTATTTATTATTCATCATACATATTTCAAACATAATTTGCACCTAAACTGTTAGTTTTATTTTACATAAATACACTATTCGCATATTAATTACCATTTCCAATTCTTGTTTATTTTGAAATAATGTGCGTAAAGATTTTGGCCCGTGATCTCACACTCCAACTCAGATTGAATCATGGTACAATAATTTAACGAAATAATAAGTTCGTAGAAATATGATATATACAATTGGAGGACCTGGAGAAACAATTAGATCAACATGAAAAAATTTGCGGTGAGAATGAAGGACTCAGGCCTCAGTATAAAGACCTCAAGGGTAAAGTCACGCATGAAGTGGGGTCAATAATGATATTGGGGTGTATTTCTCTTTATGGAGTTCGATTTATTTACTAGATATACGAAATAATCGATCGGATTGTTTATACAAATGTGCTGAGAACGCTATAGTTCCCTTGCTGAAGAAAATATCGACCGATCTAATGTAGATGGTGTACCAAAGTCCCTATATATCTTTCGGTTTCCACAAAACGTAGCATAGTGTACTAAATTAAATTCCCTTGCTGAAGAAATTTCCTTTGTGAAGAAAATATACCGCTTGTTTGGGGCTTTCAGTTTGACAATAACCCCAAACATACACCAAAACATGTCAAAAAATGGTTGTGGGAGTCAAAAATCATGGCTTTATAATGGCAAGCACAATCATCATATTTTACCCTATAGAAAAATCTGTGTAGTATCATAGATAGCAATATTATAAAAGGTCTACAAACAAACATAACCTCTTCACTAAGGTTCAGGATGCGTGTAATTATAGATTCAATGCCTCGTAGCTGTGCTGCCGCAATAAAATAATAATGGTATCGATTAATACCATATATTTATACAAAAATTTAAACAAAAGTGACCAAGCAAAAATTGGGTAAATTTATTTTACATTAAATTTATTTCGCCCTCCACTGTAGTAATGCAAATACTACATATCAAAATAGGATCCCTGCAAGAATTTACATATAGCTCCCACTTCCGAGGACATACGCCAATATAATTGATATAAATTTAAAATCAGGTTGCGCAAAAATTCGCTCGCGAATGATTCAAAATACATTATTTTCGTTTAGTGCTCATTATACCTTTCACCACACTGTGGTACAGGGTATTATGCCTTTGTATATGTTTGTAACAGGCATAAGGAATCGAGATAGACCCATGGTAGAATCAATTTCTGAGTCGATTTATGCATGCCCGTCCGTCCGTCTGTTGATGTCAAATTGTAAACAAAGTACAGGTCGCATTTATAATCCGATTTGAATGAAATTTGGTACAAGTCACTTATTTGGCCCAGGGACGAACCCTATTGAAATTGGAGAAAATCAGTTCAGATTTAGATATAGCTCCCATATATATTTTCGTCCGATTTTAGGTAAACGGTGCACCAAAGCCCCTGAAAATCATTTGATTTGCACGAATTTTGCCATAGCGTACTGAGTTAAGTATAGAAAGACTTATGTTAAGTTTCGTGAAAATCGGTTCAGATTTCAATATAGATCCCATATATAGTTTCGCCCGATTTTAGGTAAATGGTGCACCAAAGCCCATGAAAATCATTCGATTTGCACGAATTTTGCCATAGAGTACTCAGTTAAGTATAGAAAGGCTTATGTTAAGTTTCGTGAAAATCGGTTCAGATTTTAATATAGATCCCATATAAGTTTCGCCCAATTTTTTGTAAAAGGAGAACCAAAGTCCCTGAAAATCATTAGATTTGCACGAATTTTGGCATAACGTACTAAATTATGTGTAGAATGACGTGTGCTAAGTTTCGTGAAAATCGGTTCAGATTTCAATATAGCTCCCATATATAGTCTTGCCCGATTTTAGGTAAACGGTGCACCAAAGTCCCTGCAAATCATTGGATTTGCACGAATTTTGGCATAGCGCACTGAATTGAGTATAGAAAAACGTGTGCTAAGTTTAGTAAAAATCGGTTTAGATTTAGATATAGCTCCCATATATATTTTCGTCCGATTTAAAGTAAAAGGTGCACTTAAGATTCTAGCTAGGCCGATTGACCCAACGTACTCAAATTAATATAAATTAATCGTTAGCAAGTTTCCTTGAAATCGGTTCAGATATAGACATAGCATAATAATTTTGACTAATTCATGTTAATTGTACATCAAATAATCAATGGGTGTTTAGGATCAATGACATGTTTAGGGATAAATGTTAGTCGGTTTAGATATAGATTAAGATCACATATTTAAATTCGTTCAATTGCATGTCATAATTCCTTCAAAAAGGCGACGTCTTTTAGGATATATATGTACAATATTCACAAAGTGCATCATATAGTCGGCCCAGCCCGACTTTACTACTTTCCTTACTGGTTTTAAGAATGAATTTATGGCGATAAATTCTTTACCAAAAGAACATTCGCCAAAGAATGTTCGCAAACACATAACAAACGAGTGAGAGCACAAAACAACGTTCGTTCGTTTCGTTTGGTGGTTGAAATTCTTTCTGACATTATCTCTCGAATAAAAACAAACATTCCCGAATTCTCGCGAATGCTCAAAAAGGCAACAACAATAACAACAAACGTTCGCGAACTCAATAGTTGTTGGACATGTGTTTTGTTATTCATTCAGACGAAGTTTGTCGAGAGAGCGAAATTTACTCTCACACGAGCATTCTCGAACATTTGTTGTTTGAGTTTTTCAAAAGAATGTTCTTCAGCAACAAATGCTCGCGAAAGAATGAATCGACGACGCTTGCACCGAAATTTTATCGTTCGTTAATTTTTCGTACAATGCGAACTTTCGCGAGAGATTGTAAATGCTTGTTCATTCATTGTAACTTTATCATTCGCGATAAATTTAAAACATTTGAATTCTCGCCCGTGATCATTCGTGAGAAAGAGCGTATTTTAATCATTCTTCGCATCCTGGAGTAAATTATGTGGCGTATACACATAATCCAAATTTGAATATTTTTCACAAAAAAAAAAAAAAAAAATTGGTGTCCATTTGACCCGCTTAATATTGACAGGTTATCATGAAAAGATCCATGTTTTCCATTTTCAGACACATTTCTTCCTGTAAAATTTCGTAATGTTCAGGTCACAATTGTGGATTCTAGAGCGACCAAAAAAATCGACAAAAATAATGTTTTTGGTCCGTTTCATACCTTAAATAGGGGTCTTCTTTGGCCCGAACCGAACCTACATGCAAAATTTCGTAAATATTGGTCCATAACTGTGTTTACAGACGGACAGAGACAGATGTCTAAATCGACTCAGAAAGTCGAGATATGAGGTCCGTATAATAAAAGGCGGGTCAAAGATTAATTTTTCACGATGTTAAAAAATCTTGCGGCCACACAAAGCTATAATAATAATACCCTGACAACATAGCTGTGTTGGTATAAAAAGTCGCAGGATTTTCAATCTTCTACCATATTTTGTCCATCTGTTTCCTGCCGTCCTGCCCGTTAAAGGTATTTTCATGGTCCTATCAGATGACATTTTCTATACGTTAAATTTCCTGAGCCAACTTCCCAAGCCTGAGGGTTCATAGTCTGGTATTCAATTATATTCTGGCAGAAATTTACCATGGGAATTTTAAATTGGGGTGGGAGTCTAAAAGTCCCGGTGGAGGATAAAAAAGTGCGGACCGGTCAAACTAAACGGTATATTAAAATTAAAAAAGCCAATAAGAGACAATCTAGACTCAAAAAATATGTCATACATGTTTCCACTTTGTATAGGTCGGATAAAGCTCTACATTGCATGCATAAAGCGGCTCAGGATCGACTAAGAAATTGATGCTATGTATATCCTTAAAAGTAACATCTTATATGACAGTGGGATATAGCCACATAAACAAACTCCTAACTTGTTTGGGTATTATTACATCTAAGAGGGGTCCTAATCTGAATAATAACATATTAAAATATCCCTATGGTTCATTTGACTACCTTCCAAAAATACCTACAATAAATAAATACACTTTACTTAATTCTGATGAATCATTCCCTAAAATTTGTTTCATTGTTATAAGCTTTGATTCGAAAATTAACTGCGATGAGCAATATGGGATTTTCGATGTTTTGCTGCCAATTGGATGGGACGTGTCACGTTTGATATAATTATCATTCTCAAATTTGATTTTGCAATTTCCCCCTGTTTTTGATTGGGCCAAGGGATTTTCCCACACTGATTCCCATATATTGATAGAAAAGCAAAAAAAAAAACAAATTTGAAACACGTCACTCCCAATGACCGACCACCACCCAAGTGTGATAGACAAGACGTACATCGCACATTTGGCGGAGAGTGCCCAATTAATATTTAAATTCTTAATGAGTAGTAGCAGAACACAAAAAAAAATATAGAATTCAAGCGCTCACCAGCAACAAAAAATGAGCCGAATCGAATCAGCACACATTTGGCAGACACCGCAGTATAAATGCCAAGTCTAAGTGTTCCGCCAATGGTAATTGTAAATTGAACATGACTGGCGAAGCAAGTAACAAACGAAATTCTAGTATGGCTGCCTGCAGGAAGATGTGGTGTTCAAAGGCAGACATGGCGATAGCGATGGTGATGATGATGATATTGGCTACAAATCAAATGGGTAAGTTTTGGAGATGAGTTGGGAAATGACCACAAAAGATGTTAATTGCAAATTGAATTTCAGTGTTGGCTGGTGGTTATGCTGGTGGTGCGGGAAGTTTTGCAACAGCTTCTGCTGCAGCGGCAGCGGGTGGTAGCTATGCAGGAGCTGGCAGTTATTCCGGAGCCAGCAGTTTTTCGGGTGCCAATAGTTATTCTGGTGCTGGAAGTTATTCCGGAGGTGGCAGCTTATCTGGTGGAGTTAGTGGAGCAGGTAGTTACTCTGAAGGGATGGCCAATTCTGCTGTTGGTGAAGGAAGCACAATAACTACAATTGTACCTGGTGTGGTCCATGGCAGTATTAATTTGGAAAAGAATATTGACTTTGGTGAATTGGAAGATGGAATATCCGATGTTGTTGGTGGTATTCTAAGTGAAGTGGTACATGGCTTACATTCATCGGTGCATGGTAGTGGTTTGGTGGGCAGCAATTCGGGCAAAGGTCATAAGCGACCTGGAAATGGTGTTGTGGTTATGGTAGATGCAGGTGGTCTTGGTATTGAACATGGTGGCTCCATTGGTATTAATGGTGATGGCGGAATTGTTATTGAAAGCTCTTCGAGTATTGGTGGCAGACCCCATCACAACAGACCTCATTCGTCGAATGGTGGTAATGGTGGATCAAATACAAATCCTGGAAATTCTATAAATGGTAATGGTGGAGTGATAGGTGGATCTGGTGGTTATGTTCCCAATGGCAATAGACCACACTCTTCGAGCGGAGGAAATATTCCAAATTCGAACTTAAATCCTGGAAGACCCGTAAATGGTGCTGGCAGTGGTGTTGTGGTCGGATCATCATCAAGTACGGGTGGTGTTATTATCGGATCATCCTCAAGTGTTGGGGCTAGTTCCAGTGGTGGATATGTACCCAATATCAATAATAGACCCCATTCCTCGAATGGAGGCAGAGTACCCAATACGCATGTAAATCCTGGAAGACCCAATAGTGGTAATGGTGGAAGTGGGGGATATGTTCCGAATACCAATTTGAATCCTGGTAGACCAACCAATGGAGGTGGTGTCGTTATCGTAGGAACATCTTCAAGTGCTGGTGCTAGTTCCAGTGGCGACGGATATGTACCCAATAACAATAGGCCCCACTCGTCAAGTGGTGGCAGAGTACCCAATACGCATATCAATTCTGGAAGACCAAATAGTGGTAATGGTGGAAGACCTATTAACCGACCATCTGGAGGCAGATTGCCAAGCTCAAATATATTCCCAGAAGAAACAAATAATGGTGGTGGTGTTGGAATTATGACCGGAGCTTCTGCAGGTGCTGGTGGCAGGCCAGGTGGATATGTACCCAGACCGAATTCATCGTCTGGTGGAAGTCTACCAAATTCGAATATAAATCCTGGAAGACCTATTACTGGTGAAAATGGAGTCAGTGTGGAATCCTCATCAGGCATTGGGGGAGGTGTATCTGGAGGATATGTCCCCACCTCAACATCTGGCGGCAGAGTTCCAAATAGACCCTTAAACCCCGGAAGACCAAATAACTCCGGTGCCAGACCAGTGAAGCCCCATAACAGACCTGTAAATCCATCCTCAACAAATATTGGTACAGAATCTGGGGTACATATTTCTATAAGTGGCCATACTGATGTTTCTAATAACCCCGATTTTGTTCCACAAATTCCAGATTCTGATTATGATGCATTAAATCCTTCCATTGTTATCACTTCTTCTTCGGCTTCCTCGTCATCATCTAGTGCCGGTAGTACTGGCATCAGTTTTGGAGATAACCAACGACCATCCACATCATATAATCCCACCTTAAATGGCGGCTCCGGTGTTCATATTTCAATTGGCGCCCAATCTGTTGACTTTGATGAAGCAGGCATCAATCAGCAACAACCAGATAAAAATTATGGCCCACCACCAAGCAAACTACCTGGGTCATATGTAAGTAATTCAGGATCATCTTATGGTAAGGGAAAAGGTAAGGGTTTTGTAACTTTTCCCAAACCTACGGTAACCTCTTCAGCCGGTCATGGCAGCTGGAATGATCAAGAATATGTGGATAGTGAATCAAATAATCAAGACTCCACAGTAACCATAGGAACCTTGAATTATGGCAAAGGTAATGATGGTAGAATCACATTCCCTGATTCTGATTCACCGAAGGAACCCCAAATTGAGGAAGTTTATAGTGACGTCTCTGGGCAAACTTCCATAGGATTTTCAAATAATGAAGGAACTGGAAACCACGACTTTGGTGTAACCAATTCAAACACACATAACTCGAATGATTTTAGTTCTGGCCAAAGAAAACCTTATGGAGGTGGAAATAGAGGATATGCCAGTTCCGCTACATCATCCAATGCCTACGCTGGCAACAATCAAAAAGGGCACAGCCAAACTGGCTCTGGAACCTATAACGGTTCTGGTGTCTCAAGTTTCGTTTCGTCCAGCAGCAGTGCAGCTGCTTCGGCCAGTAGTAGCAGCAGCAGTGGAATAGCAACTACCAATGGTGGTGGCGTTTTGGGTTATGATAGTTCATATTCAAGTTCATTTGCCAGTGCATCGGCATCTTCAGCGGCCTATACCAGTAGCCATTAAAAATTTTAAAAACAAATTATATTTCCAATTTATTTGTTAAGGTGTTATTTATAATATTTTTGTTACTTAGAAAATAAAACAAAAACAAATTGTTGAGCAAAAAACAAATTGAATTTGTGTGTAGGTGCCATCGTGTTGTGAATATATAAATGAAGTGTTGTATTTTTTGTAGGTATTCTTGACAAGGTACATACATAATTAATATTCCAAACCTATTGTCATTTAGTGTGGGGACGTATGACATAATTGTGTTTAACACACGATTCCGAAACAATAACAAACAGCTAGGCATTGATTTCAATTGAAAATAAAATTGAAAAGAGGAAGTACCATTGAATGTGACACATTTTAGAGAAAAAAACTATATCCGTATTGATTCCATGTTTGACAAAGTGTAGATTATAATCAGATAGAATTTGTGATTTCAAAATTCTCTTAAAGGCCTGATTATACGAGGGTGGTTGAAAAATTTATGTGAAATTCAACGATCTCTTGGTCAGTCTTAATCTATGTGAAAGAAATGTAATATCAACGCATTTTATGAGGTTGATTCTACGAATCCATAGTCTTGAAACAACTCTAGTTTTGCTGACATATGATACCCTACACAACAACAACGGAAATCTAACTTACTTACATAGTTGGCTTGTGACAAAACATTTGTTCCATAATTAGAGATTAAAAAGATTTCCAGGCACGACGGTGCTGTGTGCAGCTCTTCCAATTTGAAAGACCATTACCCGAAATATTGTCTTCTACTTGATCTTTCCATCGAATTCGTTGTCTTACTCTTCGGCCTGAACCTTTAGTTTGCTCACTTTTATATGCCTTTTGAGCTGGGGCATCTTCATCTCATAATATGACCTTGCCAAAGTAGTAGCTGCAGCTCAATACTCCTGACTATGTCGATGTCCGAGAATAGATGGTACAACTCCAGGTTAATTCGACGACGATATTCACTATCGACGCAGATCGGCCTATAGTTCTTTCGGAACACTCCAAGAGCTGCTTCATCTGCTTGCATACCCATGTTTCAGATCCATACAACAGCACGGGTGAGTACCAGGGTCTCGTGAGTTTGAGAACGTAGTAGCAACTGTTGGCCAATAGTATCCTTCTCCAAATTTCAACACTGATCTCATTAGTTTTATTTATGGCGATACCAAGATACATAACATCTTTGACAACCTCCTAGCTGCAGTTCTCATGTTCCACAGTTGGTTCGAGTCTACTGGACGTCTTGCGTTTTGATACCATCCTCTCCTTCTCAATTCGTTCAAAAGTGGCTGTTACCGCTCGCCATGTTCGACCCATTATTTCGATATCGTCGGCGTAGGGGAATAAAATCTGTTGTTTGGTGTACAGAGTGTAATTTCTGTTTACATTTGCCTCTGGCATGACCTTTCCCAACAAGATGTTAAAAAGGTCACACGACAAACTGTCTAAAGGGCTCCAAAAGGTCTTTTCCGACTTTAACTGTTGATCTTGTGTCAGTAAGACGGGTGCGTGCCTTGGCTGCCACAAGGTATCGATATTCGCTCCTCGGATCGATCGGACGTCTAAAACACTGAATGAATGCCGTCCGTCTATTACAACATGATCGATTTGTTTTTTCGTTGTTCGATCGTATCCTGTCGTATCAAGGGTTTCCTGATGGAGGTTTTTGGTACCCAAGTGTTGCTTTTGCTTCAGTTTGTAGGAAGTGGGCAATTATTTGCCATTGTGCTTCTATTTCGTCAAGCAGGTGGGTAAGTTGACAGAAGTAGGCTTCTGTTATCTATTGTATTTGCAGCTTTTCGATGTCGAGTTTCCGTGTTACATTAGATTGCAACTTTGCTGCCATATTAAGACGAGTATGGACCTTGGCTGGTACAAGGTAATGGTCCGAATCGATATTCGCTCCTCGTACCGATCGAACGTCTAAAACACTGGATGAATGCCTTCCGTCTATCACAACAGGGTCAATTTTATTTCTCGTCGCTTGATCAGAAGAAATCCAGGTGGCCTTGTGTATATCGAGATGCTTGAATCTGGTGCTGCTAACTACAATGTTTTTTGCTGCCACGAATTCAATAAATCTCATGCCGTTGTCGGATGTTTCTTCATGGAGGCTGAATTTTCCGACGGTGGGACCAAAAATATTTTCCCTTCCGATTTTTGCATTAAAATCTCCCAGCAGAATTTTAATGTCATGGTCAGGTCAACGCTCATATGCTGTTTCTAGGCGTTCGTAAAATATTTTTTTGGTCTGTTCATCTTTGTCTTCCGTCGGAGCATGGACGGAAATGAGACTAATGTAGAAGAACTTCACTCATCTAAGGAGTGAATCTGGAGACGAAGTCTTTTATTCTCCTATTAACCATAAATTTGAAGCCAAATGCATGTTTTGTTTCATCGCAGCTATAATACAGGGCGTAATCATCTGATTTACTTACGCCAGTCCCTTGCTATCGCATTTCCTATAAGGCAATTGGCTTTGTACTTTTTGAGTACATCCGCCAAATCGAAAACTTCCCCTTTTCTGTACAAGGTGCGCACATTCCAAGTGCAGATCATGGCCCTTTAAATGTTTGCGGGGTTCGTCAGCATTAGGGGGGTTTTCTTTTTTGTTGTTTTTTCATAGTAGGAGGGAGTACCGACCCATTTTTATACCCTCCACCATAGTATGGAGGGCA